ACCTGAATAATAGTACTGATAAAACAAATAGCAGGTGATTAATAACTAGTAGCTTAACTTGTTCTCAAACTATGACTTAATTCAAACTATTTGGATTTTTTCCACAAAAGAAGTAATCCATGAACTCTTTGTTTCATAAAGAAAAATATATCTGGTGAGACAGAAAAGAGCACTAGAAATTAGTCATGTAGGCTCTATTTAAATCATTTCAAAAAACTTCCACTCCTTTTTGTGAACAAGTTATATAAATTCTATCTTGCAAATAAGGACACAGCTCTGACAAGTCCACCATATTTTTTAAATATGCCATTTCATTGTAAACACAAACAAGAAACCGCCACCAAGAAGGATTTCCTTCCAGCCACTACAACATCTTGATTTTCTTCACTGTTCTTCAAAATAAAACCACGTTAAATCAAAGCAGCAAGTTTGAGTATGTTAAGGGAATAGTAACATGCATGTTACTAAAACTTATGGTGACCAGTTCCAATTGTGTGAAAAGGGCTGAAGATTCCTTTGAGAAGTATAGGCTAGTGGTGTAAAAGATGCAAAAGAAATTATGTATTGGAAAGCAAAGATGCTTTGGAACAAAACACAGTTTGATTTAAGTTGTTTTACAAATGCTTAAAAGAATTAATTTGACCCTACACAATATTTTATGCTTGTATTTATGTAGTGATAACAAATTTTAAAAATCATTTTTAATTATAGAAGTAATGCATTAATGCATGCATCTTATAACCATAGACATAAGCTAAAATTCCATTCAGGCCTTATTTCAAAACAATTCCCTAGATATAGCCAGTTAGGTTTTTGTTGTGAATTATACTAGATTTTTAAAATTCTTATCTGTTTACGCATCCACATACAGTATATAGCATTGTTTGGTAATTTCTTATTTACAAAGACTCATCTCTTGGTCCAACACATAGGCACAGAGTGTCTACCCCGTGTCTCTGTCTGTCTCCTGTGGTACAGATAGAGCATAGGGTAGAGCAGTGAGCTCATCAGACACAAATCCCTTCTCCTGGGGCTTCCATGCTAGCAGAAGAGAGGCAATAGACACCAGGCTGAAGATTGCTATCTGGGGCTCAAGAGGAGGTCTCAGGTACTATGGGGAAGAGTAAAACAGAGACGAGGATGAGAAGGGAGTGCAGTAGTGGGGTAGAGAGGGGATGTTACATCTGGTCCTCAGGGAGTGCCTTGCTGAGAATTGGCACGTGAGCAAAGCCCGGCATATTGCAAACTTGGTGTATCTGCCAAAAGAGTGCAATCAAACTGCTTTCAAACTGCCCCTGCTCCAGTAGTGACGTGAAGCAAGAGTCCCGGGATGTGCACTCTGACCAGTACCACCCATGAATGGTCTCCCACTCCTGTAATTTCCTCTCCACGGCCTGAGTCCCAGTGAGGTCTCGACTGTCAGAACCCAAACTGACATCAAACACTCCCTGGGAATCTCCACTTGATTCCAGTTCTTCTCTAACTTCTCCTCCTTTCCTTTCTCCCGCCTTTCTCCTTCTCCTTCTCCTCTTCCTCCAAGACGTAGCTGGGAACGAGAGAACGAATGCACTGCACTATTTAAGGGCCACTGGCTGACAGTTTGAGTGAAAAAGATTCTGCTCAGAGTCAACTTGCGATGGGAAATCGTCCGCTTGCCATTTCTTCATTTCCTGGGTGAATTATAAATACACAAAAAAGACACTCCCTCCAATGAGCAGTCTGCTCAGACTAATAAAGGAATGTATAAGTGCCTTTGATCAAAGCTTGCACCGTGATGCATAATCTATCCCTTTCAAGTTCTGCAATCTGAACAAAATGACTTTAGATAGTTGTACTAAAAGATATAGATCAAGTTAAATGCAGTGGAAAGAACGTGGCATAGGAAAAGGTAGACGCTGGTCTCAGCAAAGTTGCCTTCCCACTAAGACTAAATATTAACTGCACCTAATATTTTGATCAGTACACTGATCTCTAAGACAAGGGCTCTTGCTGAGGTTCAATTTCCTCATATCTAAAATGAAGTCATTGCTGCACACCCTGCCTACTTTCCTTTTCTGCATAGATTGTTATTAGCCTCAAATGAAATAAGTAAAAAACACACTGTATAGATGAAAGGAATTATTATTTGTTAAATATTAAAATTCCAGTGCATCATATACTGACTCCAAACCCATGACTACCTAAAGACCTAAATAGCGTGCACAGACTGGTATACAAAAGCAATAGCACTGCAGGTCTGACGTCTCAATCCTCATCCGAAACAGAAGGAAACCCTGATGTACGCTCACTGAATTGCTACAATGTACAACAGTATGAGAATCACAGAGTCAGAATCCCATACTGATGATTCAAAGCTTTCTTTGTCTGATTAAAGTCAAGGGGGAATGGCAAAATATACAAAATCTCCAAGATCCATTAGAATGACAATAAAAGTATCATTTTTGGTTAAAATAATTGAATTTCTAGCTAACACTGTATGCAGGTTAACACAGCAAAATATGATTCCAATCTCTTCTATCCTCTAGCACTGCTTTTAAAAATATGGAAAAGAATAACCATTCATTTCATGCTAACCATTCAGGACCAATGAACTCTGCTTAATAAAAACACACATTGTAACTCTCTGAAATTTGGAAGTAATACTACAGATACACGACCCATCCATTATAACCTTGCTATTGCTTTAGTCAAACAGCTCCTGATTTAATCATCACATTGATTAACAACCCAGAATAGAGTTAATAGCAACTCTTTCTATAACCATCAACACATTTCAAACAAATGCTTTGCTTTTGAAACTGAGGAGTCTAACTTTCCAGGTCAGGAATAAGTGATTTTTTTTTTTTACAAAACCTTTTTTCTTTTGCAGTCTGACTAGCATGAGAATGGAATATGAATACGCTTTATTTCTGTGAAGTCAATTATTTGTCTTGTAGAATAAAGTATATACTATGTTACATCTTGAAGCTGAAGAATAGCAATCTTCCATGACTAGACAACACAGATATGCTCAGTGAATGAATACATTTATTTATTTCTCATTTTTTTGGTTTTGTATTTTCAGCTTCCTCTGGGCAGTTAAAAAGTGAGGAGAAAGTGGACTAGTGAGATGAAATGGGAAAACTTTTCCATTTTTAAATTTAATTCTGATGCTCTTTTTCAAAGTCCCAATGTACATTTCAATTTAATGCCATTCTCAGCTACAATTTCAAGTATCCCAACACGAGCACAGATATAGAAGAAATGACGGCTGGCAGCAGGTAGTGATTTGTCTCTCAGCCTCCTCCCACAACTGTCCCCATATTTTACCCACTGATTGGCTATTGTGGTTTCTGCCAATCACTTTCTTAGTGAAAGAATTATTACAGATTCCCTTGCTTTTTTTCTACAACTCAAGATCCTTTCTCAATATGTAACATATATACATAATATACTGAATATATATATATATGAATATAATACATATTCTTATCTGTGACTATTCTTTAAAAGAAAAAATATAAGAAAATCTTAGTGTTATGTTATTCATGAACTACTACTATATAATGGCTTATTTACAAATTCCAGCAATGGTTCAGTTGGAATGACTTCAGTGACCTATAGCCTTGAGAAATAATGCTGTAAGTGAACCCCACGTCTATGTGCCTGACTCTAGAGTGGTTAGCTGACATCATTCTTGGTTAGTAATTCCTCCTTCCTTTTTTATCCAACCTTTCGGCACTGATGTGCATCCATGACAACTACAGACTGAGTAAGCTTCCTCCTTCAGACTGTTATTTAAAGTTCAACTTCCATTATTAGTTTAAAAAAAATAGAAGGAGAAAAGGTAACAAAGAAAAAGATTGGGTGGCACAGATAATTAAACCATTACTCATCGAAGCAAAAATTCTAGGTTCTTTGTTCTTTGTCATGGACAGAGGAGTGTGCTAGCTAATGTCAACCCGGTATTCTTTACTTGTTTTACCTAGATTGGGCCATTTTGGACACACTCAGCATTTCTGAACTATCTGCTCATCTCATTTCTGAAGTAAAGTCCTCATTTTTGGCCTCATCAATTATACATTTTTACATGTGGATGTCCTCCCTATCCGTTTTTTAAAATGAAATTTATGTCTGCTTTCCAGTAATTGTTTTGTTTTACCAAAGCTACCGGCTACCATGGTCTTTGTCATCTAGGCCTTCTAGTCGTTTCATAGCTAGATACCTCCAGCGATCCCTGGAGTCATGGACTCCACTGTTGCTCTAATATCACCTTCTCGAGTCAAATCTCTCCGTCCTAAAAGAATCAAGAATGGTATTCTGAACATCTGGAGCTGTCCTCTCCCATTTCTGGTGCACATTCCCATGTTATTTTGTCTCAACTTATTTCCTTCTTCTGCAAGTCCATCTGGCCCTCCCATCAGACCTTGGGCTCTGCCATTCAAACAGATCACAGACTGTGATGAAATGTTTCCAATTATGAAGCTCTTTCCATCAAATGAGGGTCAAAGGATAGTGACATTTTCACTATGTGGTAGGGGAGAATCAGGGCAAAGTGAAACAGAAAAAAATGGGGCCTAAGTGAGACTGGAACAAGCCTTGGACGTCCAGGTCTAACAAGTGCTTGTGAGACACCAGCTCTGAGCAAAGACATCAATACCAGTTCTTCACATTCTGCCTTCTCTGACTTCCGCTCGGTTTAGATACTTCAAAAAGCATTAGTGACAAGGTGTGAGTGTGACACCAGGGCAATTGGAACCTGGAACCGGAGCTTCATGAGCTTCTGTCACAGCTGCAGGAGGGAGCCTCTTAGATTTCCTCTTGTGTTGGCTGCTAGATGCTAAAATCAGTAAATTGTAACGATTGACACGTTTCCAGGGAAGACACTCAATGTCATGCCTTGCCAAATGCATCAAAGGAATTTTGTTTATGCCAGGAAGGCTTTGGTGACTCCCGGCAGTGATTCAGGTCACTTATTTAAAATCCTAAACTGGTATTTTTGTAGCTTGTGGGTCACCAACCTGCCAGCCTTGTAATTTACACTGCCGGAGAATAAGCCGACATCGCTCCTCAGTGGACTGTTCCTTCTTCTCGCACAGGGATGTAACAGCCAGTGGCTTGTATCTGTGGAAAGCAGGAGGGATTGAGAGCAATGACTGGATTTGCCAAAGAAATGATCATATTCAACAGGGCTGTCTTCCAAACTGTCTCCACCTTACCTTATCCCAGAGACCCCCGCCCCCAATACCTCTCAATTGTGCATTTACCAGGCAGCTGTGAATAATCCTTACTTCTACAGAGAAAATGATTTTTACAATGAATCAAATATATTTTTCAATCCTTTAATTTACGTTTACCATTGTCATGAAGTCATTGAAACCATTTAACCCAAGGAAACTTGAACAGAATGGCAATTACTCTATTAGTTGTCATTTAAACATTTGATATGCTCTTTTAAAATACACTTTCTTTAAGAAATTCAAACATTCGAGAGTGAATCTACATGTAGTTAGAGTCCATAATAAAGGAATATCAAAACATCGGAAAGTCTTATTTGAGAGATGGAATAGCTTCCTTTCCATATATTAGGTATTGAATATTTTAAATGTTCTAATCTAGAAGGACATTTTTATCTTGGGAAGTACCTATGAGTAAATTGACTTCCATTCCCTAGCTGAAATTCATGGCTATATATTAGTTTGTTATCGATTTTTCAAAAATGACTTTCACAATTATATCACCCACTTAAAAAATCTATGTAAAATTCCCTTTGCACTTATGAGATTGAGCCTGACATATAGGTAAGACTGCAGCAGCAGAGGTGGAGGAGGAGGAAAACAGAAGGAAATGAGCAAAGATCTACGCAAGTGCATCCTGGTGCATTCTGTGTTTATGGTTCTCATGTTGGGTTGTTCTGTAAGCTGATGGAAACTCAATGCCAAAACCTAAATCACATAAGTTTCCTGTTATTTTCAGTGGAATACCTTAGTATTTCATCTAAAGTTCACTGCGGCAAATTTGGCATCTTCTAAGATGAGTTTTTTTCCCATTTCCTTAGTGCAATTAAGGAAGGGAGTATGTTGCCCACACATCTTCATTTATCACTTTCCCTTCGTGAGAGCAGTGAGAGAAGTGGACATGTCCTGTGGGAAGCCACACTGGAATCTCTCTCACACACACACACACATATCTTTATTTCTGCAAGTACTGTGGATAAATGAGGGCGCTCCAATGGGGCAGTGCAACAGTGACCGTGGGGCTCGTGTACAGGATTGACTGAGAAAATGCACCTGTTACGGATGGAATGCACGTGTCTCCCAACATCCTAACCCTGGATGCAATGGTGTTAGGAGGTAAGGCCTTTGAGAGGTGGTTAAGTCATGAATGTGGAGCCCCCACAAATGGGATTAGTGCCCTCACAAGGTGCTGAAGAGACCAGAGTTCTCCTCTTTGACCACGTGAGCACACAGCAAGAAGGTGCCCTCCATGAACCAGGAAGCAGGCTCCCACCAGACACTGAATTTGCTGACACCTTGATCTTGGACTTCCCACCCTGCAGGACTGTGAGAAATTTCTGTCATTTATAAGCCACCTCGTCTATGGTGATTTGCTATGGCAGCTTGAACTGACCAAAAGAGTACCGATTTAACTTTTCAGAAGACATTTTTATTTCCTTTCTTAGATCCTTAGCATTCTCACTAAAAACTCAGTATATTATTTTTTCCTGAATTGAGAATCTTTATAATCTTGCTAGCCATGAGCCAGCCAAAATGAATTCATCAACGTCAGCAACTACCCTTCCTTCTCATATCCATACTCTCGCTCACCTAGCAAAGTCAGGGTATAGGAGGGCATTAAAATAGCAAAAATAGTGCATAGCAAAGACTGAGCACTGAAATGGTAGAAAACATAGCATAGAAAAGGATGTGAAAAATCTTGTTTATCATTTTGATCACACCAAAGAGATTTAAATGATTTGTGGATGACTATAGTTTCCAGTATTTCTCTTTTTTACAGTTGACAAGAATGTGATTTCTTACATGCCAGGCACTGAAGTTGGTACCGATGTTTTTCCCCTGCCCCCCCCACCCCCAGGCATATTGTGGTTGTTGCAGAAGATAATGGGAAATTTCCAGTGTCTAGCAGAGCACAGGAAATGGGTAGAGTGGAGTCTGCGCAGCGTGAGGAACCGTGCACAGGGCAGTGCGCAGGACCACCCACAGGGCTGAGGGCCTCCCCTGAGGATTCTATCGCATGACATCAGTATATCTTACAAGCAAACATGGATTACGTTTAATAACGTTCACGTGGTTAAAAGGTGACAAGTGATATAATTGTACAATGTGTTGAAACAGGAAAGAAGCTGGACCAGGAATCTGAAATCTGAGATTCGGGTTCCAACTTTGTTATAAATTCGCTGTGATACCCTTGGCAAGTCTCCAAGCAAGTAATTCTTTGTCCTCCCTCGGTAGTGCTTGTGTGTGTTTCTCGGGATGAGACACAAATTCTATGCTGTATTACAAGCTCCCACCTGTTCTCAGTGTGCATGAGCTTCCCCAGGGTAAGGTGCAGTCTTGGTGCATTTTATGGTGTCTATTACATGGCCTCTGTATGGAGCAAGAGCAAATAGATGATCGGAAGCCAAGAAACATGGCTGGGAAGTGAGAGGTGGGAAGGAACGTTTCCTGAGCATTGAATGAGAAAAGGGGGGGTTTCATGTTACTTGACAGACTCCTCACTGGTGTAGGGGCCTGCGTGACAATCCGCTTTGACAGTGAGAAAGCTGGTGCTCACAGCAAGTAACTCAAGTTCACAGAGATGGTCTCATGGGTTGAATTGTGTCCCTTCAAAAGATAAATGGATGTGACCTTGTTTGGAAATAAGGTCTTTGCAGATTTGATCAATTTATGATGAGTTCATTAGGATGGGCCCTAATCCGATGTGACTCATGTCCTTAAAAGAAGAGGTAAACGTGAGTCACAGTGCAGTGGCAGGTGATGGCAGCAGAGGTTGCAGTGATGCAGTTGCAGGTAAAGGGGCATCAAGGACTGATGGTCCCCAGCGGGAGCTGGAAGAGGCAAAGATGGATTCTACTCAGATCTCAAAAGGAGCTTGGATCTGCTGACGCCTCCCTTTGGGACTTCTAGCTTCCAGAACTGTGAGCGTGAATTTCTGTTCATCTAAGCTACCTCTTTTCAGTTTGCACTACTTTGTTATAGCAGCTCCAGGAAACTGATACAGATGGTAGCTGTGGCTAAGCTGGAATGTGAACCCAGGATCATCTAACTCCAGAGCCAATCTCTCCATCACCATTGCTACAATCTAGGTGACAACTCACAGGCCCTTGGTCCCAGAAGGTTCTAGACTGGAAAAGGAAGAGATTGACCTTAAAAAACTGATAAGGTAAAACTGAACGGGAATCCTCCTTGTACTGGACATGGAGAGGTAAGAATCCTTGGTTTGCTGGCCTTTGGGTGACTGGAGGCTCCTCAACAGTAAACCAGAACTCATAATGGAATGTAGACTCATTCATGCCCTCAGGAAAGTCAACGTCTTTCTACCATTTAGCCAGAGTCACAAAATGGAATGAAATCACTCAAAATCTTTTTATTGTCTCTGATAATTGTCTCATTCTGGAACTTTGTTAATTACAACTAAGAATTTAATTGATATGATTCAAGCATCTGACTATAGTATTAACAAGTCAGAACAAAAAGTCTTGTACTTGGTGCTTTTTTTTTTCTCATTTTATATTGTTCTTTTGACATGTAAAATGGTATAATTCTGACATTTCAACTGAAAAGAAAAAACATCATCTTAGACAGGGTGAGATACTCCATTTTAGTGTTATGTAAAAAAAAAAAAATCTTGTCTTTTGAAATGTGAGTGTCACCTATAGGTAGTGTGCCAGTGTGGAAGAACTCCACCACATTCTGTTGCTGAGCTCACACGTGTTCTTCCAGCAACTTCAACCTGAGCCCATGTGGGAATCACAAGTCTGAGCAGTAAATAGGCCCTGAGCACAGGGCACTGGGAGGTGCATGTGTCAGCTGTCTTTCCCCACGCTCTCCCAGCATCACTTGCTCAAGACAGGTCACCTTATCCCACTGAAGACCCCTGTGTTCGGGCTTCCATCTGCTCTATGTCTAAGATAAACCAACTGACTCTGAAAAGTAAACATGAACTTTTCCAGGTCTTCTTCCTCCTCCTGGTTTGGGAAGGAGGGACAACTGAGGTTTGGTTCCATGTCTGGGATCTGGGTCTCGTGGCTCAAACAATTCACCAATAGTAACTGAGCACAAAATACATGCTGGAGACTCTCTTGGGAGCTGGGCATGTAGCAGGGAACAAAACAGCCAAAGACCTTTATGATGGAGAGAGAAAGGGTAAAAAGAAAACAAGGAAGTGTGTCCAATATGGAGTGAGATGGAGAAAGATAAAGTGGGAAAGCTCTTACTTTGAGCAGACAGAGTGGCAGAAAGATGTGGCCTATCTGGGGAACAGGAATCCAAGCTGGGAGGACAGCAGGTCCCGAGACCTGAGTGGGGGTAGTGTAAATCTGTTCTGGGAATGTCAAGGAGGCAGTTGTGGCTGGAGAGGAGGAGGTGAGGAGGAAGACGTAGACGTGTTCAGAAGGGTAAACACAGTGGGGTGAGGATTCAGATGCTGTAGGTGACAGCAAGGACATTGGCTTTGACTCTGATCCCTGGGGAGTGAGGTTTGAGCAAAGGAGCCCTATCACTGCATCACTGAGGCTGCCAGGCTGAGGGGCCTATCATGGGGCAAGGTGTTTCCAGTCCAGGTGAGAAGCATTGGGCCAGACTGTGGCAATACAGTGGGAAAAACTTGTTGGATGGACTCTGTACCTATTTGGGTAGACCCAGTAGGATTTTCTGATGGATGGATCAATGTGGCTGTGAAAGGAAGGGAGGATGACTTCAAGGGTTTTGACCTAAAAAACTAGGGTTGAAGTTGACATGTACTGAGGTAGAGTATAACGGGAATTGCAGCTATTCCCCCAGATGAATGCTACATAAACAGGAGGGAAATGCTGCACCTGGGGAGAACCAGAAAGGAGAAATTCAGGTAGGACGAGGTATTGACCAAATATCAGCCATAAACTT